TACAAATAGGAAACATGTGGTTGAGGTATAATTCTTTTTCTGTCCAAAACAAATTAGCATTTTATAAAACCAGCTTTTATAATAGGTGTCAGTATGGCATTAAACATAATATAGGCATTTTAATTATGTAAAAAAAATGGGATCTACCTAAAAGTTAGGAAAATGCTGAAAATTTTACCATTGGAGTTTTAGTTGCCCGTTTCTTCTTTTCTGCTCTCTCTCTTTCCTCGATTTCCATATTTTCTTTCTCAATCAATGAAATCAGAGTGTTACAGCGTCTCTGGAATTCCTAAACAACATGATAAAAAGACTTTTAATTTCTGTAACCCAGTCATAATCTTTAAAAGGGTGACGATTCTTTAACTGTATTATTTCTGTGGCACCGAATTTCCAAAACTGGTATTCTTCAGAACAATATTCATACAGGGTATTAATAGGTCCCGCCAAAAATAAGGGGTGGGGGTAAGTGTCATTCAGTGGGTGAATGGTTAAACAAACTGTGATACATCCACATCATGAAACACTGCTCAGCAACAAAAAGGAAGGAACTATTAATGCATGTAACAACCTGAATGAACCTCAAAGGAACTATGCTGAGTGAAAAAAGCCAATCTCAAAAGGTTACATACCACATTATTCCATTTGTATAACCTTCTTAAATGAGAAAGTTATAGCAATGGGGAACAGATCAATGATTGCCAGGGGCTAGGGAGAGGGTGGGTGTGACTATAAAGAGTTAGCACAACTGTCTTGTGGTGGTGGTGGTGGTTACACAAATCTACACATGATAAAACTACATTGTACCACATACACACATGCAAATGAGCACATGTATAACTGATGAAATATGAACAAGCTCTGTGGATCATACTAATGCCGATTTCCTGGTTGTGATATTTTCCTATAGTTGTGCAAGATGTTACCACTAGGGAAAATGGGTGAAGGGTGCACGGGACCTCCCTGTACATTTCTTTACAACTTTCAGTAAAGTTAACATAAATCACAAACAAAGAAAATAAAATAAGGGGATGTTCTATGGTCAAAATAAGCTTTGGAAGTACTCAGTTTACAAAAGTTAAACAGCTTTCTATCCTACAGGGCTTCTCGAAACCTTTCAGGTCCTAACATGTACCATGAATAACTGGGCAGTGGATAGAGGATACAGCAGTTTTCAAAGCTATTTAACCAACTGACTCTCTTCTCACTGAACTCTTGTGGGATCAGAGTTCTGGGGAACATATCTCAGGAAAAACTGCTGAATTTGTTAATTCAGAGTAAACAATACCTGAAAACATTTTTGCATTAACCTTGCCACTACCTATATTTCACTGTTAGCAAATCAATGCATCTAAACTATAAACAATGTTTATGAATGTATGGTGAGCATTCAACATATGATTCACTGATAGAGAAACTAATATGTTATTAACCCTATACACTTTGCTGTATTTTAAGGGTAAATAATCGCTTAATATCAAAGAATAAATAATATTTTAAAATATGA